GCTTTTAGTTGAGGCCACCTCGTACGTAACAATACGGTTACATAAATAGTGCAACAGTGTGCGGCTTTGCCAGTTCAGTAATTATTTTACTAAAAAACTCTTGCAGTTTTTTCTTAAAATTGGGAAAACTTGACAATGAAGTGATTGTAACAGGAAGGGAATTTCCAGATCTTTGGACCTTGGCAAAGAAGTGTGAATTTTTTTTTAGATTAGTCTGGCAATGGTGCACGCGATAACTATTGGCTGTGCTGGTGCTATAGCCATGAATTTGACTGTTTGTAAAAAACAAGTTGAAAAACAATGGAGGCAACTGGTTGTTATGATAGTAGGACATAAATTTATATCCTTATGCGAGACGACGAGCATCGTCGACCTTTTCATATGGGACCCCCCCCGGGCATTCTACCGGTAAAGAATTTTTGATCCAGTGTTAGACAAGGAAAATATTAAACTACTCACTTGACATTGGAAACGAATCACCGTGTTTATCCAGGTAGCGTTTCGTGATTTTAGGAAAGAGCTGTTCCTTGTAAAACCTCTCATAATCATTCCGCCGGATTTGAGCTTTCTAAGGACAAAACCAAAATTATAAACAATTATTGGATGAAGTTTTTGTGACATCCAGAATAAGCCTTACCGGAAAAAAAAAAAAAGTTTTTGCTTCCTCACTGAAACACAAAGCGCTCGAACTTGACATGATTACCCCTTAGAAATCATGCACCGCGGTCATGCACGACATGATTACCCGGCCGTGACCTTGAGTGTCCGTGACATGATTATTGTGTAATCTGCAGCTAGATGACGTCACAGGCGCTGATTTCGAAAATTCACTGTACGCTTTCGGCCAATCAGAAAAGAGGTAGTGAGTTCAATGTTTAATAACAATTATTATTTCGTTACACTGGAGCTAAAGGTTTCACAGATAACTATCTAGTTAAATAGAATAAATTGCAATATTAAGTCAAGGGTTTAATCAAATTATTTCAGATTAAACTGGACAATTTTGAATGGCGAATGGCGGATGGCGGATGGCGGATGGCGGATAGCAAAAAAAATGAGGATGACGGAATGCGGATGGAAAAATGCGGATGGAAAAATGCGAATGACAATACGCGGATGATAAAATCCTGATGCGGGAAAATTAACTACGATGTCTCTTGGCCGCAGTCGCTTTCTCCAGTGGACATTTTCTTAAGAGTACACAGCGAAAGTCCTTCCATGTCGTAAAGGAAGAGCAGAGTCTGATGATAAAAGGAAAGTCTAGTCTTTCATTAGTCGATCAAGTCTTTTCCGTTTTTTTTTTGTTTTCTTTTTTCTGAATTAGGCGTAAAAATGTTTTGATCTGTTTTGTAATTGAATAAAAATACTGGACTTCTCCCGGCATAAATTCTCTAAGATGGCCTGTTTTATTTACAACTAGGACTGTAAGACAACATCACAGAAAGTTAATTTCCCCTAATCAGCATTTTTTCATTAGCATATTGTCATTCCATTTACAATTTTCCATACGCATTTTCCATCCGCCAAACGCTATCCACCATCCGCCATCCGCTATCCGTGAAACTTTAGATTTCTAGAATATAAAACAAATTCACATCACAGAGACCGTTCATATGTGGAGCTGAACTGTATAGAACTGACGCTGCCCTTTTCCCTTTCGTAAACAAGCGTTGCCATTTTCGCCATTTTTAATTATCAATGAATTTTTCCTACTAAATTAAAGAATAACAAAAGCTGTAAGTGACCACCCAGTATCGAACCCAGAACCTCTCGCATGGTACAATCCCTCTCATATATACCATTACACCACTAGGTTGA